TTTTTTGAGGAACCGAGGATTGAACTCAGGCCCTTGCGCTTGCCAGGGAAACACTTATTCCACTGAGCCATCTCCCCGGCCCTGGGTTTTTAATATTTTTTAATTTTTGTATTTAATGCAGGGTCTACAGGGTCTCACTACACAGATTGGACTTGTAGTGATCCTCCTTTTTTCAGCTTCCCAAGTGCTGGGATTATTGGCATGTGCCACCATTCCCAGTCTCAATTGCTATCTCAGCGTGCCCAGGACAGCCAGGCATGGCAGGCTGGGGATTGAACCTCCGACACTTTCATTTGCCTCAGTAGGAGCTTTAATCCGCTGAGCTAGCTGGTCAGCCCCTATAATATATGAGCACTTTTCTTATGATCCTTTATCCCACAAAAATGGTCAAATTAGCCAGGTATGGTGGTGCACACATGCAATCCCAGCACTCAGGAGGCTGAGGCCAGGTGGACCATTGCAAGGTCAAGGCCAGCCTAAGCTACAAAGTGAGCTTAAGGCTAGCCTGAACTGTATAGCAAGATACTGTCTCAAAAAGACAAAGTGAGTTCAAGGCCAAGCTGAAGTATACAGTGAGGCCCTGTCATAAAAACAAAAGAGAACAAAAGAATGATCAAATCATTTAGATTACACTGGTACAGTATATAATGGCCTGTTAATATTATAAGTGCTCCACAAAATATAATTCTGTTATAGCTGCAGTATCTCAACAGTTATTCCTTTCATTCCTACATAATACAGCAGTAATTATCAGGCTGTTAAGAAAAAATTTCTACTACAAGAAGCTACATTCCTTACTTCACTGTTTCATTTTCATCCATAAATGTGTTATACACACACATGTGGGTCTCATAAACAGGACTGCCTTTTATATGCTAGATATTGTCACTTGGGCTGTTTTGCATTCTGGTCAATTTCTAATATCACTCTATTTTGCACCTCAGCAATACTTTTCTGTTGAAATATAGGCATTTCTGGGAAGTTGCTCAATTATCTTCCTAGCCCAAGCCAGTGGTGGCAAACCTATGGCACATGTGCCGCAGTGGGCTGTTTGTATCATTGGAAGCTCTAAAAGGTTCACCATCTCTGGTAAGCTGACTGAAGGATATTATAAGAATATCACCTGTGTACTGGCTTCTTGTCAGAGTAGAAAATTCAATGAAGATCAGAAATCCTTATTTCCTACAGATGAAGCAGCTGCTATCTTTATTCTTAGGACCCAGAGGAGGATATCAGCTTCATTGGGGCTAGGGAAGTAGCCTAGTGGTACAGCCCTTGCCTACCATGTGTAAGATCCTGGGTCTGATCTCCAGTACTGCAAAAAAGACACTTAATTGTTTTCTTTCTTTTTCTTTTTCTTTTTATTCAGAACTGAGGATTGAACTCAGGCCCTTGCACTTGCCAGGGAAGCACTTATTCCACTGAGCCACTTAATCATTTTCTACCAGGTAGACACATCTGGAAAACTGAAAGCAGAAATACTTAGCAACTTGGCAAGAGAATGCCTAAGAAGGTTGTTAAGCAAAACATAAGATGCTCAGTTAAATATGAATTTCAGACAAATAAGAACAAAAAAATTGGCAGTGTTGGGAATCAAAACCAGGACTACACACATGCTACTAGGCAGATACTCTGCCACTGAGCAAAACCCAGTCCTGAATTCTTTTTTTTT